ATATATATATATTGGTACTGGGGATCGAACTCAGAACCTTGAGCTTGCAAAGCAGGCAGCTTCAGTATTTTAAATAATATTTTAAATAAAACTTTGAACCTGATGTTTTGATAAAATTTTGATAATTTTAAGGTGTAAAATTTTCTACTTATGGCATGATGTCAATACTCAAGAAGTTTCAGATTTTGGAATGTTGTGGATTTTGAGTCAGGCATGTTTAGTCTGTACTCTTATTGTCCACAATATACATAGTAGAAATGGAGCAACTCTGATTTAAGTTTTAAACCTAAGACTAACCACTTATTAGCTATATGACCTCAGATGGTTCCTAAATATCTCTAAGGTGTCAATTTCCTCACCTGTACAATGGGGATGAAAATACTTTTCTGGAAAGGTTGTTGTGAGAGTTCAGCAAAATACTGTAGTAAAGTGATTAGCAAAATGCCTGGCATTAGGCAAATGTTCAATTCAGGGATATTTTCTTTAGTTTGCTCTCATTTTGCATTTGAGGAACTGACTGAGGCTTCAGGGGATGAATCCACTTTTACACTGAGAGTGAGGAGTCAATGCTAGGCCTTAAGTCAGGTTCTCGGGTCCCTAAGGCAGTGATACAGCTACCAAGAAGGTTCCACTGTATATGAAAATATGTTCAAAAGACAAAGCCACCTCACATCTATTAGGATGGACAGAATAGAAAATGTAATAAAGATACAATAATAATAAGTGTTGGTGAATGAAGATGAGGAGAAAACTGGAACCCTCATGCACTATTGGTAGCCTTATAAAATATTGTAGATGATTTAGAAATGGTTTGGCAGTTCTTCAAAAAGTTAAACACGAAGTTAACATATGACCCAGCAATTTTACTCCTGGTATATGCCCAAGAAGATGGAAAACATATCCATAAAACCTTCTACACAAATGTCCATAGCAGCGTTATTCCCAAGAGCTGAAAAACAGAAGCAACTCAAGTGTCTGTGAGCAGATGTGCAAATAAATACAATTTACAAGAGTTCATACAATGGAATGCTATTTGATCATAAAAAAGGAATAAAATACTGATAAACATTTTGACCTGGATAACCTTGAGAACAATAAACTAAGTGAAAGAAGCCAGACACAAAAGGATGTACTGTATAATTCCATTTATATGCAATGTCCAAAATAGGCAAATCCAGAAACAGGAAATAGTGGTTGCCAAGATCTTGGAAGGGTGAGGGTGGGTGTTACCTGGCACAAACTTTCTTTTTGGTGTGATGAAATGTTCTAGGACAGTGGTGATAGTTCATGATCCTGTGACTGTGTTAAACACCACTGAATTAATTGTACAGTTTGATTAATTTTATGATGTGTGAATTGTATCGCAACTTTTAAAAAAGTAAAATAAAGCCTCATCTAGGAAATAGCCTTCTGTTAGGCCGTGTGGCTCTGACATGCCACCCAGTTGTGGTGATCCTGTGCACAGATGGAGGGCAACATGCATAAGGAAACCACTCTCAGTACTAACCTGCACCCAGAATGGCAGGAGGTCCTGGAGGCCCAGGGGGTCCTGGTGGCCCAGGGGCACCAGGTCTTCCAAAGCCAGGTGGCCCAGGCAGCCCAGGAATTCCTGGGGGTCCTTGGGGTCCAACGATAGTCTCCCCTTTCTGTCCCTGTTAAGCACAAAGTAGCAGAAGTACGAAAGGACCATTATTGACTAGATATCTCACAAATTCCTTCTTTGAGGATGTTTGTAAACAAAGTGAATTCCAGCTACTGTTATCATATTCACAATTCTGGGTGGTGTCAGCCTGACCAAGCAGCAGCTCTGAAGTCATCCCGGCCCTGGAGATCACCTGGTCTGGTCCCTGCACTTTACCAATGAAGGAACAGAGAGGAAAGGACTTGCCCCAAATCCCAGTGCAAGTTAGGGGCACAGCTAGAAGTAGAACCCTGGTCTCCAGCTTTGCTCATTCTACCAGCACAGGAAGGGACCAATGTCAAAAATCTATCTGTGAAGTCAGTAATCTGGTCATCTTATTGGGAGCAAAGTTTGATTTTTTTCTCTTGTGGCTTAGAAAACCTTCTCATCCTAAGAAGACCAAGCCTGTTTAGGAGCTCCAACTTTAATAAAAATTCAGAAGAACCAAGTAGCCCTTCTAAAAACATCATCCTTACTTTTCATTCTGCCTCCATTGTCTGATCTGTTTCCCATTAATAATTCTTTGTGTCAAATGAATTTTTCCACCACATAGGTTAATAAGGTATAATGTGGTTAGTACTTGGACGTTAACTAACTGTGAATAGCCTTGGCCACCTCCCTTCTTTCCACAGGCCTCTTCCAACTTCCCCATCAGTCAACAAGTGAACTGGAGGCGCTGGCCTCTACTTGGTCCTGTTTCCAATTTGACTGACCCTTTACCCTCTAACTGCCCAAACCTAGTGGGAGCTTCAGGAAAAACCCTAAATCCTTGGGGAAGATGACTTGGAGGAGTCACTACTCACAGCCAGGCCTGGATTTCCTGGCAGTCCTGGAGACCCAGACACAAAGAAGTTGCCATTAGAATCTCCTTTTTCTCCTTTGAATCCCCTGTCTCCATTCTCCCCCTGGAAAAGAGAACATGGGAATTTTTCAGTAAGACTGAGACAGACTGTCTCTATCATAAATCAAAGAAGTTGGAAATCGAGGTTCTTATGGTTTGAATGTGCCCTCCAAATTTCCCAAATTCCATGTTGTGGAAACTTAATTCCTAAAACCATGTGTTAATCTCTGGAAGGTGATTAGGACATGAGGATTTTAGATTAGTGAACCAATGGGGTATCTAGGGAATAGCTTTGCTATAACAGTAAGCCCTCTCTGGCACATTTGTCTGGCTGTGATGTCTTGCACCACCCAGGACTCAGGTGTCTGTACCAACAAGGCCTTTACCAGATGCAACCCCTCAACCTCTCAGCCGGCAGAACTGTGAGTTGAATGAACCTTTATTCTTTATAAATAACCCAGTCTGTGGCATTCAATTTTAGCAACAGGAAACTGACTGAGGCCAAATGTTCAATAGAGAGTATTCACCTTTAAACTGTTCAGGAAATGTCTCAGGTAAGCTGGATCAACTGGAGGACCTAAAGAAGAAATGCTTCATAAAATTTACAATCATAGTTTCAGGGAGTTTAAAACAAGGGTCTCCAAGTTGGTAATCATGGTAATTTCTCAGTGGGAGTGACCCTGTAATGCTTTAGTTAGTAAGGTTGGCCCTGGGATTAGAGACAGCTGCTGTTCCAGCCCAGGCCCACCCATCCCTCTGTGGGGTCCTGGACAAGTTCCTGGGCCTTTTTGGGCCTTTTTTTTTTTTTAACATATAAAATACGAACAATTGGACACCCTGGTCTCTCTTGACAATGTTTCATCTTGGACATGCCAAGCCCATGACTGGGTCTCACCCTAACTCACAGTAGATTGTGGTCAGAGAGGTCCTGGATTAGTCATACTCTCTGGGGTGGCTGCATTTCTCAGGAATAAAAATTAAAGCCAAGACCCAGAACAAGAGCTGGATTACCTGGTGGTCCCTGGGCTCCTTGGTCACCTTTTTCTCCTTTTGAGCCAGGAAGACCCCAGGATCCTTTCTCTCCTTTAATACCTGCAACGAAATTTATACACTTTAAGGAAGAGAAAAAAAGATAGTGGGAAATCACCTTCATTCTATATAAAACCTTTCTGAGCCAAGTTTTCAAAGTGAGGCCCAAGGACAAAGCCCACTCAATCACAGAAAGGCCTCCTGAGATATCAGTGGTATAAAAACCTTCACTAAAAGATGAGGAGGGCAGGAACAGATGCATCAGACACAATTCCTGACCTTGAAAAGCTCTGGATGGTTGGGAAAACAGGCAGAGCTCAGGGTAATGCAAGGCCGAAGGAAACACATGTTGTCAAGGAGAGATCAACACAGCCACACGGGGCCCAGCAGAGGCTACAATGAATTCTCCCTTAGGTGGTCCCACAAGTGTAGACTGAGCTTCAACACTAGATCAACCTTCCTGTCTCAGCTCACCTAGGCTTATGCAGCCTGATGCTGTGAGTGTGGCAGGGAGGTCTCTCGGGGGCAAATACGCAAGGCAGCTAATATGCTAAGTACTCTACTTAGGAATTTGAGAAAAGAGATGCCTGTAGTGTGCAGCACACCTACCCCAAAGAACAGTAAGAATTGCTGCTCTACGGAACTGGCCTTGTGTGTCCACCTTTTCCAACACTACAGGGAAGGGAGCCTTTTGGGAGATCAGCCCTTGGGAAGGGAAGGGATTCCCCCTTGTTCCCCTTGATGGATGGAGAGAGCATGAGACTGTCAAATTCCTGGTCTCTATGAGGTATGACAGATAAATTTTTCAATGCTCTCAAGCCTAAGGATGGGGTCACAAAGCACAGACAAGGTTTGGGGGCACAGGATTCTCCAACCTGGAAGAAAGTCTATGAACATCAGAGGCATGAAGGTCTCCACTGGGGGTGAGCACAGAGGTACAAGCACACCTGTCCAGGCCCTACCAGCGATGGGGGAGTTGCCTGAGACTGAGGGTCTGGGCATCAGGGCTGTGTAACCTCCACTGCAACCACAGCCAGCAGTGTCAGGTAAGAAGACAGTGAACTCACCACACACTGTGGGCTGCTCGGCTGAGGGATCAGCAGTAATGCCCACAAGTAAGTAGGAGGACAATTGCTCATTAGGGTCATCATGTCCAGAAAGTTCTGTTCCCTCTCCTCTCAGAGGAGCCCCACAGGACAAGGGAACAAATGAGGACCTGAGAAAGCAAACATAGCCCTTCCCGCTCCTTTCCAAGGTCCACCTGGCACCAAGGGACAGGAGAGCCTTGAATAGGATCTGAGCACAGAGTTTGAAAACAGCCTGGACTTGGCAACCAGAAATAACAGAAAAACCACAGGGCCTCATGTGATCAGGGTGACACCACCTGGTGCTACGGTAACAACCAAGCTGAAAGTGAGTATTAGGAGGGGAAAAAAAGACTTTCCCTGTTTAAGCTGCAAATGTTTGGACTCCTCAATCAAAAGGGGACACATGGAGTGACAGGGTATATGGGGTCCAGAGATATTGGTGGCCTGCAGATTCCTGCTCCTAGCTTGTCCCTCTCTGATGTGCCCTAGAGAAGCTCCCGCATACAGCTGTGAGCACGCTGATATTTCTTAAACCAACATCTTCCTTTGTGCACTCTTCATGGAGCGGGGCGGTTCCCAGTGGGTACAGGTCCTGATGGGCAGGTGCAGGCTGGGGCCTGAGGTCCTGCATTTTTAACAAACTTTGTGGAGATGCTGCTGCTGCTGCTTATGAACACTGTGAGGCCAAGGTCTTCTGGGCTCTCACAGCTCTTCCCTGTCTTAGGTCTTCGTATCTTTGTTATAATTAATTTCTAATAGTTACATTCACCTAACAGATTCTAAGGGCCCGGAAAACAGGAACAGCACAAGATTCAATTAGCTCAGCCCAATGTATGAGATAACACCAAGCAAGGAGTTGGTATTGGTGAATGTCTTAGGAACAGATTAACAAAACAATGAACAAATGGAACACTTCCTGCTGACTAGGAGGCTTAGCCAAGACGTGTAGAATGGATAAATGTATGACAAAACCAAACAGACGCGTCCCACCCTACAGCCTTGGCTCAGCTGCCACACCTCCCACCACACACAGCCAGATCTCCCTGACCACCACCTCGGTGCCCCAGACACATGAAAACCATCTTCTGCAGAGACACTAAGTCAGGAAATGTCCCAGAAGGAAGGGGTGCATACCGTGGAAGGTGATGAGTTCTGAATCCCCAGGTTGTGTGGTACCAACCTGTAAAGAAAGAACAGCCGCGTCAGACACTGGGAACGTTGCCCAGGCACTAGCATGGTCAGGTGGCCACTGTCCCTGGGAAATGTGGCAGAAAAGGCATTGTTGGAGTCCCCAAAAGCCCCAAACTCCCCAGCAGCACTGAGCACACAGAATCCCAAGTCTTCAACTGGGAGGCCCATCATGTAGCTGGTATAGAGTAGACATAATTGAGACCCAATGGCCAAAAACAAAAAAACAAACAAACAAACAAACAAAAAAATTACTCAGCAGAGGGGAAGCCTAAAGCTTTCAGACAACAGAGCATGGCAGCAAGGAGCATTTTTGGCCTCCATTCTTATCAAATGTTCATTTTAACTCATGCAAGAGACCAATCACCCAAGCCAATGACACACCCAGCACTGAAGCCAGGCCAGCCTGCAGTTTGGCTACTGTGTGTAATCAAAGATGAGAGGAAGGAACAGGTGCTCACAGTAGTGGTAGTTAACCATGGGGCTATAATTAGATTGGAGGGCCTATTCTAGACTCCCCATGAAGTGGTAGGGTTTAGACTCCAAGCTGTTCTGGATGCTATTTCTTCCAAGATTCCTGCATTCCTTTACCCGTAATACAGTACCACATGCCACCTTGTATTAAATAGTCCACTTTCACTTTTTTCCTAGCTGATATGTGGACCAAAGGCATCCATCAGGCATTACGATCCTCTTATGCTAATGGACAGTGCCTGCAAGCTGCTCAGGGATCACCAAGAAAAGAAGGGGGAAGGAAAAAGGAATCTTTATGAGAAAAACACTTCTGAGTTAAGGATGAAGATCACAGCGCCAAGCTGATTCTGTACAATGGTGCTGATAAGTTCCTCCACTGCAGGTGTGAGCTGTAAATTACTATGGTGTCAGAAGGGCTGAAATTAGAAAGGGTTTGTGAAACACTGGAAGCATTTCAGTTTGAAAATGTTCACTTTAAGAGCTGGTCAGAAAATGCCCATGCCCCAGTTCCCATGGTGTCCAGCCAGGCAAAATAAAATAAATAACTCACTCAAAATGCTCAAAGCCCATACAGTTCTTTTAACTCCATTCTCCCAAAGGCCACAGTCACTGCAAAAGGTCCTAGCATAGGCCATGGCAGTTGCAGTAGTATTTTCACAACACTCTTGAGTTTGTCAAGTGCTGCCTCATGGCTGGCCCAATTAAAGCCTGAGATCATGTAAGTTGGCTGTGGCTTCTGACACCCAACACTGTGGGACCCATGACCAGCCCACTGCCTGCTGGGCAGTTTCTTAGAGGGTCCCTCCAGCACTGATACTTTATGTTACTCTTCAGGCCATCAATATACATGCACTGGGTGCTGCTGACTTCACATGGGAACCAGCAGGCTCCTCTACCACCTTACACAGGTGGATTTT